GAATGTTTTCTTTGATATAAGGAGGCTGATTCATAGTGTGATAAGGAGAGGAAGCATGGGAGGAACAGACGAACTTTATTAGGCAGATAAGGGTGAGATAGGGCAGAGGGGTGGGAGGGGAAGTGAGGGCATGGAGTCAGAAATGATGGTGGAACATGATGATCATTATTATTCAAAGTACATGTATGAAGAAACAAATTGGTGTGAATATACTTTATATACAATCAGAGATATGAAAAATTGTGCTCTACACGTGTAATAAGAATTGTAATGCATTCTGCTGTCATGTATAAATAAAAAATTAATATAAATAAATAAATATTTTTTAACTAAGTGCTAATTACTTCACAAAAGGATCGTCAAAAATAACATGATAAATCACAGAATTGCAAAAATCAGACATGACTGATGGTGAAGAGCTTAATAGTTTAAAAGTGCTACACAAATACTTGATATCATTACTACTACCATTGTCACTCTAGTTAATTTTATATATATCCCTAAATAGATAAAAACTTTCAAAAAGAAAATGTAATTGCTGGGCATTTTAGGAAACCTTTCCCTACAGGAATCTCTCTTAATTTTTCTTCTACTTTAAGTAAGAAATGGTGACCAATGACACAGTCTTATGGGATTCAGCTTTTGACAAGCTAGTCATTATGAACAAGGAATGCAATAAATAATTTAAAAAGGAGAAAGTCAACAAAATATTAATGTCAAATGTCTTTTCTCTTTTTCATCTTCCCTTCATATTCATGTTTATTTACTACCTTGAAAACAAAATAGAATTTTAAGATTAAGAAAATCATTAGAATTGTGAATTTTTTTTAAAAAAACATTTTTTTGTATTAAATCTTCAACAATCATAAGGGTCTAAAGCAATTGTCTATTGAATTTTTAATAATACAAATGATTGTGTTTAATACCTGCTGCTTGGAATTTTCTTTTTAATATTTCCTTTTGGTTGTCTCATTTTTAAGAAATGTATTTGCCTGATAAATCTAGCTTTAATCTTGATAGTTTGGATATATGCTAAGAGGCGTTCTTCCAGAAGACAGAGGAGGTAAAGGGGGAAATTCTAGAAGAATGACTCGCTTGTTTGGGGAGGATAAAAATTTAAATCAAAACATTGCCTTTACCTCACTAAAATATTCATAAAATATTCAAAAAATATTCAAAGCACAGATTAAGCCACTAGAGAAAATAGTTTTCAAAGGTCTGTTGCTTATTTAATAATACACAATACCCAATAGGGTAAGTTAGCAAATAGAGAAAGCATGTGTTGAAAATACTCTAAATGGTTTTCAGTATTGTGGTATGTTTATATTTTGCAGGATATGACTCAACATTTGCTTTGAAGTATTTTCTTATTTTCTATAGTAATACAGAAAAAAATCTATTTTGTTCCAATTCTTCATTAATATTTAGATAAAGTCACAAATTTCTTCTTGATTTATTAAAAACACTATACCAAAAATAATACAGATGTATTTTTAGGGAATTTTCACCTAAAATAACAATATTCTAAATAATAAATATTTCAATCTATATTTTCCCCATAATAAAAGTAGCTGCTATCCAGAAATTGCTTTGTTCAAGGACCTCATATTCATTTATCCATGAATTATTTTTAACCATTTAGTGCCAAAAAGTATTTAAATGGGTAATTTAACATTAAAGGAATTGAAGAATTTCTAAGAATACAAAACCTAATAAATGATGAATGAAAACAAATAAAATTGACCTACCACAAATTTTTGCACAGGAAAAACACTATGTAAGCACAGTGGAAAGAAAGCCATGATTTGATCAAATAAAGCTGATTCCCACCCTCCTTGGAGTACTAGGTATCATTAAGCAAGACAAATTCTATGACAGGATATCAGTTGATTGGAGGAAGTGATTATGAAAAGACTTTAATATTATCTATTCAGACATGAGAGAGGAATAAGGACTTTGGTGGTATTCACAGATAATAAAACAACCAAAAAAAACTTTGCAAAGCACAACGAATGACAGATTATCACAAGGTACATTTATCATCATAAGCAGGTGGGAAAAAATGGACAAAAATTCTTGCCCTTATGGTAAAAGGTTTCCTAATATGCCATACTATTTATGGCATATTATTCATATTATTTAAATAATGTAATTTCATCATAGAGTGTTAGGGGCCTAATTGTGTACCCCTAAAATTTATATGTTGAAGTCCTAGTTCAGTATCTCAGAATGTTTGAAGATAGGCTCTTTAGAGAAGTAATTAAGATAAATATGGTTAATAGAGTGGGCTCAAAACCAATATTACTGGTGATAAGAAGAGATTAGGACAGAGGCATGCACACAGGGAAGAAGGTGGGGAGACACAGGACACAGGAAATTCTCTGCCATCCACAGGACAAAGGAAGAGGCCTCAGAAGAATGAATGTACCTGGCCACACCTTATCTCAGACTTCTTGTTGAAGGCCAAATTTGGGGGCCAACAGAGGTGAGGCAAAGAACCTCACCCCCCCACTGGCACCAAGGCCAAATTTGGGGGCCAACAGAGGTGAGGCAAAGAACCTCACCCCCCCACTGGTGCAAAGGCCTATCCACAAGTATGGCTGTATGCTGGACCATTAATCTGTAAGGGTAAAAGAAATTGAAGTTAAAGTGTAAAAGTTAAAGGGTAAAAGACCGGGCATTGTAAAGTTTCTAAGCTGCAAAGCCTGAGTTAAAATGTAAAGGACCAGGCATTGTAAACCTGCTTCTAAACTGCAAAGCATGGGTTAAATTCCTGAGGCAGTTAAGACAATGCCCTACTGGCCATTTAGTTGATTTATAGCATTCAAGATCCTGTGCAGCTTGTCACGTAGGCATTCAAGGCCCAAACCAATCAGTTTGAATGTAACCCCCTCCTTAGGAATGACCTATCACTCCACCCTGACCTGTTCCTGCCAATGTATGTACTAATCAAGTCTAAGAATTGTTGTTTGACTTTCCCTCAGTGTATGATGATTTGTTAAAGGACACTGTGATGTATGTAAAGTCCCGCCCTCCCCAAAAAGTGTACTTAAGCATTGCACAACCCCTGCTCTGGGCTCTGGGCTGTTCTCCCTTCTTGAGTGGGCACGGAGCCCCAGCATGCTAGATCAATAAATCCCCTTCTGCCAATTGCATGAGTGGTCACTTGGTGGTCTCTTTCTCCGACGCTTTGCCGGACCCTTACAAGTCAATGACGGGTAAGATCCAATTGCAATGGTACCAACCTAAGACAGGAGGCTGACGCTTTGAGGACAGCTCATCCGATGATGGGTAAGGACCATATGTAGTATTGGACTGTAAGTGTCAGGCGAAGCGTCGGAGAAAGAGACCACCAAGTGACCACTCATGCAATTGGCAGAAGGGGATTTATTGAACCAGCATGCTGGGGCTCCGTGCCCACTCAAGAAGGGAAAGCAGCCCAGAGCCCCGAGCAGGGGCTGAGCACTGCTTAAGTGCACTTTTTTTGGGAGGGCGCGGATTTTACATACATCGCAGTCTCCTTTAACAAATCATTATACACCACGGGAAAATTAAGCAACAATTCCTAAACATGATTAGTTCATTCATTGGCGGGAACAGGTCAGGCTGGAGTGATAGGTCATTTCTAAACAGGGTACACATTCAAACTGATTGGTTTTAGGGCCTAAAGGACTATGTGACCAGTTACACAGAGCCCTTCAGTTATTAAACAACCAAACAGTCAGGGGAAATGTTTACTGGGCGGTTCTAAGCATTGTCTTAACAGCTACAGAGATTTCAGGTTTTGCAGGTAGCATAGAAACCTAACAATACCTCCTTTACATTTTAACTCAGACCTTGCAGCTTAGAAACTTTTACAACACCCGGTCTTTTACCCTTTAACTTTTATGCTTTAACTTCAATTTCTTTTACCCTTACAGGACAACCTAAGACAGGCATGGTCCCTAAGCCACATGCTTGCTGTTTAATTAAATAGAAGGGGGAAGATGTTGAGGGCTACAGCTGAGTCAGGATGAGGCATGTCATATTGCCAGAAGGGAGGGGTTGAGAGGTGACCGCCAGCGAGGCATTGAGATGATGATGGTTATGTTAAGCTGTGTATTCAATTGTATATTTGACCTTTACTGTCTGGCAATAGGGCGGCTCTGGGAGCCTGTGTGGAGTGCTGGTGGAGTTCGGCAATAAAGAGTTGCTGTTTTGAACCTACAAGTGCTTCGTGGTGGCTCAGTTATTCGTGCCCAGCCAGACTGCGGCACTTCTGCTCCCAGAGTTGTGAGAAAATAAATTTCCATTGTTTAAGCTCCCAGTTCGTACACTTTATTATGGCAACCCAAGCAAAATAATACAGAGAACATGGAAGTATTACCTTCACACTGTCTAAATACTGTATTTAAGATCATGAAAGATTGCATTAGTCTGAGTTTTATCACAACTCACAATCTTTACTTGACTTTATATTTAGAATTCATACAGAGATTTGTTTTTCTGTATGTATTTTTTAACCTTCACTTTTATTAAAAATCTTAAACCTAATGGGTTTACTTCCACTATACACTTATAAAGAGATTAATAAAAATACCACAAGGACTTCACAACTAAAATAGCATGCTTAAGTAATATATAAATTTTCAGGATATGCAAAACTTTTTTTTTCTATTAAGATACATGTAGTTGCTTATTGAGGTTTAAGATGGCAGCACATAGCCCCTTAGAATATCCATATGCATAAGTAAGCAGCCAAACACACCAGAACTTAGTTCTTCCCTTCTCTGTCAAGACGTCTGCAATTGCTAAAAGAGCTGATTGCAGCCTTGCTGTATATTTTTTTTAAAACAAAGAGTAGACCATCTACTGATGCAAGTTTTCTGTTGACTGTATAGAGAATGCTGCATACACATTTAAAAATATTTTTTAATTTCAAGAATGTTACTTTCCTTTTAGGTTTTTCCCATAATAGACATTAGATTGGAGGATTAAAATAAGAAAATGAATATACTTACAGTTCCTGTTAATTTAGATGCTTTCTCAAATTCTTCACCCTCCTCCATCAGTGCTTCTTCAGTCCCAGGTAAAGAATCTATTTTAATTTTTTAAATGAATAAATTAAAGTCACAAATTGCTTACTAGTTCTCTGATATATAAACCTGTTAGTGAAAATAACATTAAAATGATTGCACTGATTGTTGAAAAATCAGTGTCTGTGAATTAAAATAAAGTCAGAATGATATTTATTTAGCTTAAAGATAATTTATGAAAGTATTTTTAATTTAGAAGGTGCAATAAAATCAGAAAAGTACAAGAACTGCAGCTTATTATGCAAATGAAGCAACACTTTTTATGGCATATTATTCAGCTAGTTGTTGGAATATATTTATATTTAATGTTCTTTTTCTGCTTTGTAATTTTATATTTCCTTGTTGGTTTTATTCATTAAGCAACTGTCTTCTTTCAAGGCTACATAATTTAAGTATCAATTTGTGTTCTCTTTGTTAAATAGAATGAAAATTTGTGAAGAATCCACAGAAGAGTACATGTTTTTAAGTGGTGGTAGGTTTTCTACTTTAATATATTAAGCAAGAGGTTGTGATTATTTAGCCTAAATAGAGGAGTGGGAGAATAGTTATATTTGAATATGTGAATAAAATCTTGGCAAGCTGTTCCATATGTCTGCTGAGTTAAATTATAGCAGCATGAGTTTCTGTGGGTTATAAAGAATTTTGCAGTAAGGATGGATATATGGATTATTTATATCTATAAATAATCTACACCAGATACTGTCAACTTCCCTTTGTAAAATATTAACTCCTTCTATTAAAGCAACAACAATAAAATCCCTTTAGGGGAAGGTATTTTAAACCAGTGAATTTTAAAAAATGATTTCATATATTTAGTAATATTGAAAGACAGCCTTTTGAATCAAAAAGATTTTCCTTTAGATTAATGTAAAAATGAAGACATTTTTTGATTGCATAAAATTTGTACTCTGGGAAGAAATTCAAAGCATGAAATCCTTCTAGCCCTTAATGGCCACCAAGGAGAAGAGAGACAAAAGGAAACTTGGCACAAATCCATAATCATAGCTTTTAAATCCTGTAGCTCTCTTTATCTCTGATAATTCAGAATTTTATATTCAGGAAGAAAGGTTGCTAATCTCATAGCATAGAGTTTATCTAGATATAAACGTAGAGTTCATTTTAGAACACAGAAAGCCCTCCTTATAAAACTCACTTTGGGAGAAGCAGATACTTTCTCAAGTTGTAGATAAACGTAAAAATTTTATCTACTACTCTTCTAAACAGAACATTGGCATTAAAAAGAAGCTAATTTAAAGAAGATAAAATCAAGACAGATAATGAGACTTACACTAAATTCAAAAATCATAATCCACTTGAAAAGAACACTTGAACTCCCATCTACTAAAACCAAGTTGTAAGGGTGACAATAGACTCTTTAAATTAGGATGTAAATTAGGAATAATTTAAATTCCCTAAGGCTAAATTACATTCTTCAGAACTGTGAACAAATGCTGGTGTAACTTTAGGTTTGTTTTATGTGTTGAAATTCTTGACTAGAATATTGATTTTAAAATAATATCAAATTGTTCTATTCTACATCACAAAACTATTTTTGAATATAGGGCAAGGAAAACCATCTTCTTTGGGGTTTTGCTGATTTTTTAAAAACTTAGAAATACTCTCAATGTTCCTCTCAGTAGGTAGGTAATGGTTTTAGAGCTTCATTATATATGTGTGTATTAATCCATTCATTCAATTATTTATGGGGATTCTGTGTAGTCATTTATCCAGCAAATATTATATGTCAGGCACTTTAGTAAGCCCTTTCAAACATATTGAAATAAGATAATTTTCTATAATTCTCATAGAATTCACTTGAACACATTTACAGTATTGATATTTTAACAAAGAATATTTACCAGAAGTTATTGGTAAATTTTCATGGTCTTACACTCTATTCTTGTTTGGGTTGAATTCTTCCTGTTTCATGCTGTAGCTGGTATGATCTGGGTAAAGGACATTGAACTTAGGGGAAAGGGATAACTGTGAAGAGCTGCCAGAATATTTGAGAATTTACAAATGTGACCCTATCAGAAGCTATTAAGTTAAATGAGTTCTGCCATATAGACCAAATCTTATGATAGGATACCAATCTAACAAGCAAGTTAAGGCAAATAGACATCATGAAAATAAAGCATTTTATTTAATTGATTGAGTGAATGAATGGTACTGGGGATTGAACCCAGAAGTACTTAACCACTGAGCTATACCATCAGTCCTATATTTCTTATTTTGAGACAGGATCTCATTAAGTCATGGAGGCAGGCTGTCACTAATTGCTTAGGTAGGCCTCAGACTTGGGATCCTCCTGCCTTGGCCTCCTGAATCACTGTGACTACAACCATGCACCACCACACCCACCATGAAACCTTTTATTTATAATGATTAGGGGGTGAACATTTTTCCTTAAGAGTTCTGAAGTTGTTGCTTATTAACAAAAATTGGTGCATTCAAATGTGTAAACAATTTTGCTATTCCAGAGCAATTTATCTTATAAGAACTCATGATTTTCAAAATAGAGGGGGTTAATTATTAGAGTTATTTTAAGTCACATAGAAGTTGATGGAAAGTTAGTCACTAAATTTGTCAAATATTGCAGAGCTGATTTTCACCCCTGATTTAAGAGAAGAACAAAATAAGACATGGAGAGGAGAAACTGATGCATAGAAAACTTTTCTCAAAAACTAACAATCTCTATTAGCATTTGGACTAGAAATTTTGTCTCCATTGACTGAGCATACTAATAGGAACATAGAAGAAATCTATAAAGTTTATCACAATGTTGAGTTTCATTCCATTACTTCCTGTCATATTTTTATTATTTCTGCTTGTGTCACAAGGTGTTTTGTGCACAAATTACATTTTTTCATAAAAATACTTACACACATTGAGCCAGGTTCAAGGTGGATGCACAGTTGATATAAAAGTCACATGACAACTTTTGGCTAATCCAATAATATTCAACTATGGGATTTAGTATTTGACTAAAGGAATTTTCAAAAGGATGCACACTAAAACAGGAACTTTTATTTTGGCATGTATTCATCGGGTATACTAATATTTGAGTGCAGAGAATGTAGGAGTTTAGCATTTCAAGAAAGGAGCTTAAATTTAATGTTTGTTTTTTTTTCCACTGCATTCAAGTAGGCTTAAACACAAACCTATTACTGGTCAGCACAATGGCCCACATCTGTAATCCCAGCTGCTAGAGAGGCTGAAGCAGGAAGATCATAAATTTGAGGTCAGACAAAGCAACTTAGTGAAACCTTGTCTCAAAATTTAAAAAGGGATGGGAGTAAAGCTCAAGCTTCCTAAAATGAGCACTTGCTAACATGTGCAAGGCCCTGAATTCAATTCCCAGTTCTGAAAAAAAAAAAGAAAGAAAGAAAAATATTTACAAAAATAAAAACATGTTATTATCTGTATTACTTAATATCTCCAGATATTTAAGTCCCTACAGAGCTCAATGATTATGTATATATAGTTGCTAAAGGATATATAGATCTATATAGATTGATCACTTAGAGTGGTTTTTATAGAATTTAAATAATTAGTGGTCAAATTGTTAACCAGGATCTGTCTCATATTAGTTTTTTTTTTTTAAGCAATTTACCTTGGTGTATTTCCATCACAAAGAATCTGTTCTTCACTCAATGTGAATCTGTTTCACAGACTTGCAATTTGGACATAAGAGTCTTCAAAATTGGGTTCAGGGCAGGACATCACTATGCCTCATAGAGAGTTATCTCAACATATTATAAGAAAAGGGTCTCATATTAGTTTTATATTGGGAATGCTGGGGTACACAAAAAAAATCCTCAATAAGCATGTGAGAACAACAAATACATATGAAGCAATTAAAAGATGGTTAGGCCTGAGGGGGTAAAAAAAAAAATGGTGTGGGCAAGACATCAGGGACACTTAGGATAACCTTAGAGCACAGAATCAGAACAGGCAGAGAGGGAAGAACATACCAATGAGACTTGTTCATGGGTCAGGGCTTGATTCTCTAATAAGATATTTTTCTAGAAATAGAGCTTCTGGGTTTTAGCTTTTATGAATGCTCAAGATTTTAAGATAATGGAAAAACATTTTCAAAACTGTTTATACTCCATCTGGGATATATTATTTTCCTCTCAGCTCTGTATTCACCAGTACTTGGTTTTACCAACTTTCTTAACCAATGCCAAAAATGGTTATAAAACAATATCTCAACATGATCTTAATTTCCCTGCTTAGTAGGGTAGTGATGTATATTTCATATGTTCATTGGCCATTTGTATTTTCTCTTCTGTGAAATGTCTTTTTATGTCTGTTGCTTATTTTTATATGGATTTGTTGATCTTTATTATTAAATTGTGGGTGTTCTTCATATTCTGAATATTAATCTTTGGTCAATGACAAACACATTGCAAATATATCTTCCCATTTTATGGCTTTTCTTCTGGCATCTTTTGATGAACAGCAGTTCTTAATTTTCATAGTTAAATTTTTTATTTTCTTCTGTTTTAAAAATATTTAGCTCATTTTTTATTTAAATTAAATATACTTGTTACTGATAAATAAAAGCATAAAAATTATACATATTAATGGAATGCCAAGGGTATTTCAGTACATGCATACAATATGTCATGTTGAATCAGGTTAAACATAACTGTCTCTTAATTCATCATTTTTTAATGGTGAAAACATCCAAAATCCTTTCTTCTATTGTTTTAAAATGTACAGCGTACTATTGTTTTGTTATATATTTTAAGATTTAAAATTCTGATGTCTTATTTAAAATACCTTTCTCTATCCAGGTATAAGGAAATATTCTATAGTTTCTCTTCTATCTTTACTGGACATACTGTCTTGCTAGAACAATGGCTAAGGAAGAGGTGATGTGTCTTAGATGGCATTGGAGCAGTAGTACATGTACTTATTCACTTATTCAGCAAACATTTTGAAATGCTCTGACATTAACTTCATATGCTAAAGTATAGAGTCTGAATTCTGTTCTATGTAAAATGAGTGCAGACTAAGCAGCTTTATTTTTAGAAAGTAAATGAATCAAGGAGGGATGAGATAGTTCAAGGAGGGCAAAGAAGGTTTCTACACTAGGTGAAGAAAGAGAAGGAAAAATGTACACCAGCCACTATCAGGAAAAATGGAGAGGAGCCTGGCTCAGGAAGGAAATTCCAAAGTGACATTGACATAATTGAACACTAATTTAACACAGAACTGAGAGAGAAAGCATATGATATTTTCAGGTCTGATACTGACATTCTCCCCAAGAAGACTTAATATCGGATGGATGGTGTGAGAACGGGAGTAGGAGATAAGTCAAGGGGCAGATAATGAGTTCTATTTTCTATAGAGCCAGCAGGAAAAGTAGAGTTCTAACACAAGTTAGAATTGGTGACAATTTGGGGAGTAACCAACAACTCCTTGTTGTTCCTCAGAACACACATTTCCTGCTTCTATTTGTCCTCTGCCCTTAACTCCTAATACACAGCTCAAAGGACTGTGCTGGTGGTGGACAGGTGATCCACAGGGCTGAGATTTGGCGCAGGAGAAAATCTTTTCTTTTCTTTTCTTTCCCTCCCTCCCTCCCTCCCTCCCTTCCTTCCTTCCTTCTTTCTTCTAATCATTACATGCCACTAAAGCTACAATAAATATTGTAGAATTCAAAACTTACCCAATGAATCTGGGATTATTTCGTCTGGAGAATGAAGCAATTGTAACGTCTCTTCAGTCCTTTCAGCCAGATTGTCTCCTTGAAGCCTAAATAATTAAAAATGGTGATTGAAACCTCTAATAATATTAAATTGTAAAATATAAACCACACACTCTGGGGATTAAGACTGTGAACTTCTAGACCCAAAAATCTAGACTTCAATCTTCAAAGTAGAAATAAAAGTTCATTCAAGCCATCTTAATTTAGTGTTTTGGTTTTGTAGGCTTTAAAGAAATGATTTTTTTATCTTTCCTCTTATATAATTGGCAAGTTGGATCTAGGTTCAATCCACTTCACTTCTGAGGCTGAACAGAGAAACATTTATAAGCAAATGTTTTCCCTGAAACTACAAATGGAGGTTGAGTAGACGAAAAACAAAAGTTTAATCCAATGTGCTTACCTAACTACTGGGTCCAGTAGGGCTTTCATGACTACACAAAGGTTTGTCAACACAGATCTCCAAATCAACCAACCTGAGATAACAGGCCTGTGGGTCAAGACCAGTCTCAGCAATGGGAATGAAGATTTCTGATATGAGTGACTGCCTAGGGTTCTCATAGACACTGGGTCTTCCTCAGGAGAGGAAGATTGTGTAGGTAATTTCGTGGCAATGTATTCTGAACTCCTCTGTATCCACATCTCTAAAGAGAGAAATGTGGACTGGCAATGTCTGGTTGAACTCTTGATTAGTATCATGTTCTAAAACTCCATTATCAAAGGAAGGTGGAGCTCAGAAACATGTTTTGCAACTCTGTCCTAAATAAACACAGTTCTGGTGATGTTGGAGGACAGTATAACAAAAGGCTCAGACTGGAAGTTTCTAACAGTGTCCTTACTTTTTCTTGTACTTTGCTAATGACAAACGTCTTTCATAGGAAAACATTAGTAAATGAATAAAATATAATATTAAAGTTCATTAAAACAGAAGTATAATTTACAACTATACTGGACTCAAAAGCTATAACTTTCAGCCATTTTATATCTTTACTTTTTTATACCATAAAAAAATAACAATTTGCCGTGGACTTTTGCAAATGGAAGCAAATATGCAGATCTTTTCCTATTTAACTTTTTTGTAATTATAAATATTGTAAATTATACTTTCTTTTTTATTTTCATGATATTAAATTCTGTGCATAGCAGTATGAATTACACTTACACTACATTTTATTTTATATACATAAAGCCAAATTTACTGTCTTGCATGAGGTAATTAAAGTATTCTCAAGGGCAATTTCCTGATAATTGTAACATATTTTGGTTAGCTGTGCATGTATATTATACCTTAATTAGTTTTTCAAATTTTACTGTGAAAAAATACCACTTTTAAGTACATGAATTAGCTACATAGTTCTCAAACCTTCCCTATACTATTTATTTATGTTCTTCCAGTAATTAGAAAACCTACTTCAATAATCAATAATATCAAATGTTCTTTTCTTAAATCTCTTTGTCCAGGACCATCCTATCAAAATTATCAAAGAAAGTATATAGGTACATGACTTGTTAAAAGGTGGAAGTAATAATTATTATTAATTATTCACAAGAACTCCAATATATCTGGGTATTTAACATTACGTTCAAAACCTAAAGGGAAAATAAATCCCCAAGAAAGACAGAAAGAAGCAAGACGTTAAAAACTATGCCATAACTTTTTGACTCATTGCACACTCATCAGTAGAACAAAATATTTATTTAGCATTTATTGACATGCTCAGGAATGAGCCCAATATTATAGAGATGCAAAGAAATTATAACTATCCCTGATTTCAAAGCACTCTCAATCTATCTGAGTTGCAAAGACAAATGGCCATGAACAAAAACCCAACAAATTGGGTGGCCTTGAAGCCAGCTCATCGTTGTCCAAACATTGCCCTCCAGATATCTCAAGAACTGCGTTTACCATGACTTGGCAACAATCTGATTACAGAACACTGTAATCCTTGCTCTTCCAATGTTCCCCAAACTGTACTGCACACAGCATTACTTCTGGTAGAGGTTGATAATAGGTGGTATGCAAACAAGGGTAGCATGGACAAGTCCAGGAAATACAGTTTTTAAAAAGTTAAATTGTTTTTGTTTTAAATTTTTTTTTATCACAAGACATTTTCTCTTCACTTTCTAAAACCACTCCTCCACATTCTACCATCCTTTAAATAAAACCACTCCTCCACATTAAGCAAACACTTTTATATTTTCAACCCCTACAAAGGATGCTTCCTGCTCCTCTTTCTCATCCCAAAACTCTTTTATCCTCCTAGAATATCCCAGTACTGGGGTTGAGTTGTAACTCTGTAGTAGAACACATGCTTAGCATGCAAGGGGACATAGATTCAATACCCAGTACCTCAAGAAAAATTATATATATAGTTTTCCCCCTCCAAAAAAGGATGCCTAATCCCTCAACCTCAGATAAAGCAGGATTGTGTTTATTACCCTTTCTTCTCTTTGTCTGTAAAAACTTTGCTCAGGCTCACACTATTATCCTGAATGTTCTGGTGTTTGTGTAGATTTTCTTGCTAAACCCATAGCTCCTTTTCTTGCTAAACTTTAGCTCCTTGCTAAACCAATTGCTAAACCCATAGCTCATGTGGAGATCTACCCTTCTCTTCACCTTCCCTAACCCAAGGACAGACAACTGGAACAGTTCCACATCAAAGAAATAAATAAATTATAAGTTTATTTTATTTCTGAAAATAAACTTAGTTCCTTTGGGTTCTTTCACATTCTCACTCTCTGTGACACTTTCTCTTCAATAGCTACAGACTTATTTCCCTTCATTTCCCCCTGGGTATCCAGTTTTCTCCTGATTCCCTTCCATCCCCACTAGCTACCTAGACCCTCACTTTCTTCCCAACTCCCTTGCACTCTGTCCTCGGGCCATTTCTGCCCAAGTAGACCCTCAACTCTGTAGTAATCTACCATTTCCCTACTTGTATGTAGCTGAGCAACACCAAAGGAAATCATGACCCTCTAAGATTGGTGAGTACAAACCAAGAGTTTCAGCTTTAAACTTAGATTTCTTGATTATCTTTCCTTCAATCTTTTCAAGGTCTTTTCAAAAATATCACCATTCTTCAATGTCACTCAGAAAAGTTCCATAATCAGAAAAAAAGGGCCTTCAACTTTCCCTCGCATTCCAGTCTCATAATTATCTTCACCTTCACCCATATTCAACAATTTTCCAATTCACGGAGGGTAAGAGACCCTTTCCTTGTGTAAGGTGTAGGCCATCCATTAGGCTCATGGCTTAGATCCTGTTGTGTCATGACCCTCTTGGTCCTCAGTCTGTTTAACCCCCCACCATTACTCATTCTGTTCACCTGCATTCCCATTTCCCATGGTATATAAACAAGCTCACTTCTCTTTTAGTCTTGTACACACACAAACACACACACAAACAAATGAATTGCTTCTATACTTATCTAAATCATCTAGCTATTGCTGCCTTTTCTTGCACATTCTTCTTAGAGCTAAACTTCTAAAATATTCTTCAACCAATTCCTTTACTTCCACAGTTTTCATTCCCTCCTCAACCTGTTTTAATTTGGTTCATGCCTCAACCACTCTGGGAAAACTGCTTACACCTGACATCTTAATGGCGGCATGCAATAGAAACTTTCTAGACCTCATCTTTATTTAAACTTGTGTGAACACCTACTCATTCTTGAGGTTATCACTGCTTATTTTCTGGGTGCCTCTCTCACTCCTATCTAACTGAGTGATTCTACAAATATCTCTCCTCAGTCTCCTTTAAAGGCCCTTCTTTCTTTGAACCCTCAGCTCAAGATTGATGTACCCAAATTCTTGCAGGAAATTTTACTTGGATGCTTTAAATTCCTCAAAATCAATATGTACAAAAGCAAACTCATTCTCCATTATCACCTCACCTTTCTCTGGACATTGCTAATCCATTTCAGTCTTGCTAATAGTGCTTCCTCAAGTTATCACTTAACATTCATCACTTCTTTTTTACTAATGCTATGATATGATGGCTTGTCTTGATTTAACTGCATTATCATGTAGTTGCATCACAGATACTCATACTTAGAAACTTGCCTTCCAAAAGTCCATTTTCATATTACTACCAAAATGTTCAAAACATGTATCCAACCATAATACTCTCTCATGCTTTAAACCTTTTAGCGAAAGAGGCTTTAACATAGTAATCTTACCGGGCCTAGGAATAGGTTTTAAGGGAGTCAAAATAATTCACAACAAATAGAATGAAGACTTTTGGGTGTCTGTGATCTTTTCTGGAGAGAAATCATTTTAACCAGTTTCTCAAAGTAATCTTTGACTCAAAGGGGTTTTAGAACTACCATTTTCATTGGCTTCTCATCCCCTGCAGAATGAGTTATGGTTTCCTTAGCAAGACATCTGAGCCTCTCATTGCACAATCCCTACCTGTTGTCTGCAGATCCATCTTCTTGGGTATTCTATTGGGATTTTATACTCCAAAAAACCCCGAACTATTTTCACTTTTTGGAAGATATTTTGTTATTAACCCTTTGTGTCATTATACTATTATCTCTGGCAGCATTTACCTCCTCCTTCTTTTTTACTATGTGGTTATTCCCAGCTTTTCATTCTAAATTTTCCTCTTTACAGAGTTTTTCTTCTGGAGGTCTTAGCATGATTGCAAATCTTTACTCTTACTTTTCTGCATTTTTAACTGTTGATTTAGATGTTTGTGTTTGTCAATAGGCTGTGAGTGTCTGAAAGAAAGGATTCTGGTTTTCATGTGTTGCATGTCCTTGACATACAGCTTAGAACTATCAGGGTACACTGTGAACTCTAAAAGAGATTTATAAGGTATTTTAAAGTGATTATTTCACTTTGGAGATTAAGAAAAGGTATGACCCATCCTATGTACAGGGGATTTTCCAAGAATACTGTAGTATAATTACAATTATATTCCCTTATCTTCACCTTGACCCATATTCAACAATTTTCCAATTCATAGAGGATAAGAGGCCCTCTCCTTGTGTAAGGTGTAGGCCATCCATTAGGCTCATGGCTCATGAAAATTATCCTGCATATATTC